AAAAAAAATAATAGACAAGAATGACACAGACATGCATATGAAGAAAGACAGGTAACGTGTAAGGATTGTCTATAATCAAAGGAAGTAAAGAATACCCACGAGTACTGACAATGAAGTAATCAACACAGCTGAAACCCTGGTACCTACAGAACTAGAAGTAAACTTTTGTTCTTTAAATTCAAATTTAAAAATAAAGATAAAAAGGGCAACTCTAAAGTATGATACTTGTTACTATCACACTAATAAAGTAGCCAATGAGTTTTAAATGCATTCCTTTTATAATTAAAAGAAACCAAACCTAAACTGAAATTTTCCCAGCCAAAATAATATGCATATCATGTATTTGTCACAGTCTAAACTAAAAGAGGAAGAACAAGATTATTGATTAAAAATGTCACCAAGGGACCGTTTCTGGTGTACTCCCAAAATGTTACACAAACCATTCAACCTATACTTAACATCAAAAATAAAATGGAAGATTCCATATTCAAATTGGAGTAACTGGGTGGTGTAAATGATGATCTTCATCTGAAAGAGCGAAGGTTCAAATCCCAACCGAGACACCGTGGAGGACACGTGGCTATCTAGTTGTGAAGACGACCCTAATATCCTGGGGAAGGTCCTGAATTAGAATTCAAGGACAACTAGTTGCTCACAGTCAAATAAATGTGGGAAACCTTCTTAAATATAGTTTTAGATGTTAGGAACCTTCTTAAACCAGGTTTCTTATTTATTGCAGGACTTCTCAGCATTTATGCTTATATGGTTATGCATTTGGCTGCTAACCAAAAAATGTAGTGGTTTGAACTCATCAGACACTTTACAGGAGAAAGACGTGTCAATCTCTGTAAAAATGTACAGTTCTTTTTAAAATCATTCTATTCTGTCCAGTAGGGAGCTCTGGTGGCATAGTTGTAGGGATTTGCACTGCTAACATAAATATGACCAGTTCAACTTCACCTCAGGAGAAAGATGGGCCATGTCCTCCCACATCACTTCCAACCTCAGAAAACCCTCTGGAGGTTCAGCAATGAGTCAGTTCTGACTCCACAGCAATGAGGTGAGTGAGTGACTTACTCTGTACTATAAGATGCTATGAATGAAAACTAGCTTAATGACACTGTGTTTGGAATTTGTAATCTATATGTAGTGTTGCTGCTATGTGCCATCAAGTCAGAACCAACCCATAGTTGATCCTTCAGCAGGTTTACAAAAGCTGTAAAGTATACAGGAGGACACTGCCTATCTTATTCCCATAGAGCAGTTGGTAGACTTGAACCATGTCCCTTTGGCTTGGCAGCCAGATCTTTACCATACACACGCACGTTTATGTATATAGCATTTTTCAAACTCACTTACATTACAGAGCCCCCTTGCCCCCAGAAAAGTTTTTGAAGGAATTCATATTCTCCAGAAGGGACTTTGGCAAATGTAAATTTACACACAAGTGATGAATTAAGACTAATGGAGGACTCAAGACAATATCTTTGGACAAAGATCCACCAGGAGCAACAGAGACTTAACACAGAAATCACATGATGTTTTTAGCAAGGTGGGGTTTTTTTAAAAGAAAGAATGGTAGTAATGGAACGTGAGAGTGGGAGGAGTTCTGTGTGCATATCTACTCCCTGAGCTCCTTCTCTCACAGGTCCCTAAAGGTAACTGTTGTTGCTGTTTTGTGGTGTTGAGTCAACCAAACCACAATGACCCTATGAACAACATACTGGAACTCTGCCCTATCACACACCATCCTCACAATCTCCTATATGTTTGAGCCCATGGTTGCAGTCACTGTGCCAATTCATGTTGTTGAGAGTCTTCCTCTCTTTCTCTGAACCTACAGGAGGCAAAATAAGAAGGCCTTGGAGCAAGGCCTGGAGTCCCAAATCTGACAACAGACACACACACCACAGTCAAGTGACCTTGATGAGGAGCCTCGGTGGTGTCTAGGGAACACAGCACGAATAAATTCTCCAGTAACAAGAGAAGGCTGCCCACAGGCATGAACAGCAGCACTGCCCGCTGCCTACAACAGCTATCAGGGGAGCCTCCAGAAATCTGGCAGGAGGCCTAATAAAAATTGAGCAGTGGGGCATAAGACAAATCTAATTTAACTTCCTTTTCAGTGCCAAAGACAAGGCCCTGCAGAGAAGAGGAACGAGGAAATGAACATTTGTTCAAAGTAGTTCAATTCCCTCATTCAATGAATACCTCTTCAGCTGTGTGTGCCTTTGCTCACATCATATTTTCTGCTTGGAATGCCAGCCCCTCACCCTACCATCCTTTATCTCTTTAACTCTTTTTTTGTCCTTCAAAATGCAGCTCTAGCACCACCCTCCTTAGGAAGTGTTGTTCCTAAATTCTGGATATAAGTCCCTTATCTGATATGATATTACCGAATACTTTTTCCCAGTCAGTGGCTTCCCTTTTTACCCTACTGGAGAAGTTTTTGGATGTGCATAGGGATTTGAGTCTTAGAAGGTCCCATTCATCTATGTTATCTTCTCCTGGTTGTAGCTTTTCCAGGATACTGGGAAGACTGTTTATGTTGTGGATTAGGACTTCTAGTGTTGTTCCTAGCTTTTCTGTAATGAATTTTATAGTCCAGTAGAAAAATGGACACAGGATATGAACAGGCATTTCACCGAAGACGACATTCAGATGGCTAACAAACACATGAAGAAATGCTCAAAATCCCTAGCCCTAAGAGAGATGCAAATTAAAACAACTATGAGATATCATTTCACCCCAGTCAAAATAGCAAAATTTAACAGAACAGCAAGCAACAAATGCTGGCGAGGTTGTGGAGAAACTGGAACCCTGATTCACTATTGGTGGGAGTGTAAAATGGTGCAACCCCTGTGGAAAGCAGTATGGCGCTTTCTCAAAAAGTTGCAAATAGAGATACCATTTGACCCAGCAATTCCACTACTGGGAATATACCCTGAAGAGACCATAGCTGACATCCAAGCAGATATATGCACACCCATGTTTATTGCAGCTTTGTTCACAATAGCAAGGAGTTGGAAACAACCTAAGTGCCCATCAACAAACGAATGGATAGAGAAGCTGTGGTATATTCGCACAATGGAATACTATGCTGCATTAAAAAACAAGGAACTCATGCAATATTATTCAAAATGGTTGACTCTGGAGAACATTATGCTGAGTGAAATATCCCAGTCACAAAAGGACAAATATTACATGATGCCACTGTTGTAGAATGGGACTGTCCTTGGGGTTGGGGAGAGACTGAGTAAGATGGGTTCAATAATGTATACTGCACTGAAACAGAGGAGGGAGAAAACTGTTTAAAAGAGATATATAACTAGGTATTTCTGTCATCACAGGAGACTAGAGCGAGGGCTACATGGTGGAGGGGACCTGGGGGAGGGTTTGTAAAACAATGAAAGAATCTTTTCTTTTACTTTTCCATAATTTTTGGACTCATGTACTTATAACTTGTTAGTCAAATTTGTGTCTTCTAGGTTGCAACACCCCCATGATACATCTTCAAGGATATGAACATGTACGGCCAAGCACAATCAATAAGAGTGCATCTAAATTCCAAAATCAATCTCCATAATAGTCTATGTGTTTCCTACTGCCAAAGGGGCCCTTTAGAGTAGTGAGAGAAGATCTTCACCCTGAAACCCACAGCGTCTCTTTTCAGCAGGAAGTAGCTAAGAGAATACGCCATCCCCTTTTCCTTATGACTCAGGGTGAATTCTCTCTCAGGGAGGAGTGATAGGGAATGGCAAAGGACACACTGACAAAGAAGATTAATCAGAACTGGCTTTGACAAGCACTGTGGCATTTGGACAAGAACAAACTGGGAGGAGGGTAGAGAGAATAGTGCAACAATGAATGAATGGAAACCAAAATCTCTGTAAATGTTTATGAAAATTAATAAAATATAGAAAAAAAAAGGAAGTGTTGTTCCTTTCCCTGATGTCTGGGTCTGACATACTTGCTTCCACAGCACTCTTTGAGAAATAAATATTTATTGTACACAGGTGTCAGACACCTGTGTGTTCCTCCTTCACTACATCTCTTCCCACTATAGAAAGGTTGTTTGCATTAGCCTAGTCATGTAGGGTCACTATGAGTCACAAGCAACTTGACAGCACGTAACAACAACAACAACCACCCTCATCCAAGGGCCTCACCAAGGCCTCCAGGCCTCTTTAGTGAATGAAGTACCTGTCAAGTGCCAGGTGCTAGAGACAGAGATGACTCGAAGCAGCCCCTGCCTTGCGGGAGCTCACTTATGAACTAAAGGAGAAAGGAGGAGATAGATAAAACCACAGCCCCAAACAAGATGGAATGAGTAATAAATACTTCCAAAGACAAGATGACCCACTAAGCTATCTGATTAGAAGAGATTCTGTGCAGGGCTTTGTGGAAAAAGGCCATGTGTAAAGATCCCTGAACCTGTCTTACCTGAACACAGGCTTACCATGGACCCCTCACCATTTAGATCAGGAAGGGATGAGGACATTGGTAATTACTGTCTTTCTTTAGAGTTAAATTGCATTTAAGGGGCTAGATTTTCTTCCACTCATGTGGCTGACTTGCCAACTGAGTGCAGGCCAAGGAGTGAGAGAGGGAGGCCGGAAGAGAATCCGTGGCATTCACAATCTTTAATCTGCAACCATGTGTGGGTGTTGCAATCATTCTATTATTGGTCCTCAAGCAGCTGGTTCAATGGGAAATCAAGTTTATGAGCAGACCTGCTGTAACCATAAAGGATTTTCTCCCCTGTGATTAAGCACTAAAATGATAGGTGTTAAATAAATACAAAAGGAAAGAAAGAGAAGGAGAGAAAGAGATTTCCGGCAAAACTATTCTGTCTCAATCAGCCAAGTGACTGTCTGCGAGTGGGTGGGGAAGAGTCAGAACTCGCTAGCTGGTGGTGTTCTGACTTCTGTTCTCAGTCCCTGATGACGCTCACCCCGCAAGTTCTCTTGGAAAGGGCACAAGCAAGACAGGAAAAGTACCTCCGCAGCTCATTCATAACCTTGAACGCCTTCCCCATGTGGGCAGGGTTGACAGTGATGGTCCTCTGGTCCTTGTCGTCGTCCCCAGCCTGCACAGGGGGCTGGGAGCTTGGCTTGATGCTGCGAACAGGAAGGGAATGGAGAGGAAAGAGAGAATCACACATTGGTAAATCCACTCATCCGACTGTCATAAGCCCCTGCGTTCACCCACCCACCTGGGGGAATCTCTGCCAGCCTGTTCTCAGCTCAGACTCACCAAGGGAGGAGATGTGTTGAGTAAGGCATGAGCTGCAGGAACTGCCAATAAAAAAGTACATTTCTCTGGAGGAGGCCAGGCTCTGGATCAGCCTCTCCTAACAGGTACTTGTGTTTGACTTTGTGGGAAGTCCTTTCTCCCACCCATAAAATGAGGTAAATGGGACGAAACCCTTCATCACTCATTTCACAGGAGTCTTCGTTCACTCAGCAACTATTTAGTGGAGAATGAGATGTGCCAGGCTGTATAGTTAAATCTAGAGAAATACAGCAGTAAACAAGGCACAGTCCCTGTCCTCAAAAAGCTTAGCGTTCAATGGAGGAGAAAGCTGAGCAAACATTTAAACATGAGAGTCATCATTCAGGGGGAGCTGCAGAAGCCGACATGACAGGCAGCTATCACAGCGTGGCAAATGGAGAGACAATATCCTAGAAGCTGAGACCTAAAGGAAGAACAGAAAAGAGGTAAAAAAAGGAGATGACAGAAGAAGTGGGATGTCCAAAGACCTAAAGGAGAAAAATGTGCTTGAAGTACCAGAAGTTCAGTAAAACTATGAAGCACAGAGGACAGTATTGAGTGAAAAGACTTTAAGAAGAGACCATCTTCTAAGGGGTCTTAAAAGGAAAGCTAAAGAGTTTGGGTTTCATTCTTAAACAATGAGAAGTCATCAAAGGGTTTTAAGCAGAGAAGGAAGCAGGTGAACAACTTAGTGCTTAAGACAGATCACATTGGCTGTGGCGTGGCACAAGAGCAAAAGCTCTTGGAAAACTGTAATCCCTTAGGAAGGCAAGGGATTGTAACTGTTATGGAAAGAAAAGCTATCTGTGTGGGCTCAGGGAGCAGGTGGTGACTAGCAAGAGCTGCCCATAATCTCAAAGTCCTCTGTACTGAAATCAAGAGACATAACACCCAAATCCTCATGAGATGCCAGCTAGCTGTCCAATTATTCCTGAGCAACATGTCTCAACTTCACTGGGAGTTGGAGGGAGGGCTCAAAGGGATAAACAGAGACACAATCTTTCTCCCCAAACTGGCGGAACTGCGCAGCTCCAAGGTTAAGTCCACAGCATGTGGATTTCTTCTGTTTGGGCAAGACTTGCACAGGAGTCCCCAGGTGTACCAAGAGTTAAGTACTCAGTTATTAACCAAAAGGTTTAGGGTTACAATCTACCTCAAAGTCCCTCAGAGGAGAATCCCGGCAATCGACTTCCAAAACATTGCAGCCAATGAAAACTTCAGAAAGCATAGTTCCCTGGCACACATGAGATCAACAACTGGATTGGTTTTGTTGTTGTTTTTTTCTTTTTAAGTATTTGGAGACTTACTCCAACCCTGAGACATGGAGATTAATTTCTGACTTTCCCTTGTAGCCCCCTATAGGCACACTGTCACTTGTTGTAAGAACTAGCCCACAGCTAGTCCTCTGGTGGGTTTTCAGAGTCAGTAAATTGTCCAGGTGGAGGTTAGCCTTCCTTCTTCCAAGGAGCAGCTGGTAGATTTAAACTTTGTGCATTTGGGATTATAGTGCAGCTTCTTACCAATAGGCTACCAGAGCTCCTTTGCTTCTACAGTGAAGAGAATGTTTCAGAAAGTCTGCAGATTTTACTCTGTGATTTGTAACTACTGGAACATTAAAAGACAAGCTGGACGATATAGACCCACAGCTCATCTGACTACACAGATTCCTCTTTGGTTTTCTGCCCTACATTCAGTACAGTACACATAAACCATGAACATCTGAACTTGAAGATTGTTTCAATTCTGGGTGCAAAAATGTTAACTGTGCACAAGAAGATAAAAATCAAGAGATGCAGATTACTGGAGTGTGTGTTTACAAGGGTACAGAAAACGTCAGTGTAGAAAATGTGATTAGGAAGAGGAAGACCCAGTAAAGATTTATAAAGAAGTCCACAAACATCATCTTTTCTGGTTAGTATCCTTTCCTCAACATTAGAGGCAAGGATAGTGAAACTTCTCACATACTTTGGGAGCAACGGGCTTCAGTATATCAGAGATTGTAAGGATGGTGCAAGAACATCACTTGTGTAGATTTGCAATAAGGCCTGCTCTCTGATAGGGCCAATCCCAAAACCTGATTCTCATTTCATTTCTTAGTCTTTCACATAAATTTTAGTATTAGCCTGTCAAGTACTAAAAAAATCTCTGACAAGACTTTGACAGAAACTGCACTGAATCTACGGAACAATTTGGATAGAATTAGCATCTTCGTGGCATTATTTCTATCTGCGAACACAGAAACCTGCACTGTTCTGAGCCAATCTCACGGAGTCTGACACACCACTGCTCGTTGCCCCATTTACTGTATCAATCCATCTCATCCTTCTGACCATGACGTCCTTCTCCAAGGATCAGTTCCTCCTGGCCATGTGCCCAAAGTATGTGAGATGGAGCTTCAAATCCTAGCCTCCAAGGGGAAACTTGGTTTCACTCTCTCCAAGACAGACCTATTTGTTTTTTTGGCAGTTCATGGTGTGTTCAAGACTCTTCTCCAGCACCACAACTCAAAGACATCAATGTTTCTTCTGTCATTTTTAGTCATTGTCCAGCTCTCTGATGTATATATCAAGTAATTGCAAAGACCATGGCCTGGATTAGGCACACCTTGGTCTCTGGACTGACATCGTTGCATTTGAGTACTCTGGAGAGGTCCCTGACAGATTTTCCCAGTACAATTCATCTTTTGTTTTCCTGACAGCTGGTTTCAAGAGTGTTGATTGTGGCACTAAGCAAGCTGTAATTGTTAACAATCTCAATCTTTCCTCTACCTAACATGGTGCTACCAATCGGCCCAGTGGTGAGAATCTTTGTCTTCTTGATGTTGAGTTTTAATCCATATTGAAGACTACTGTCTTTGACTTTCTGTAGTAAGTGCTTCAGGTTCTCTTCAGTTTCAGCAAGCAAGGTTGTGTCATCTTGATGCTACCTTCCTCCTCATAAAGCCCAGCTTTCCAAATGATCTGCTGTGCATATAGAGTGAAAAGAAATGGAGACAGAACGCATCCCTGATGCACACCTAACCAATATTATTACCATATTCCTGGTTTTGAAGATGTTTCCAATGTTTCCCAAGTATATGTATTTTCTGGGATTCTTTTAGATATTCTTCATCAGATCAAGAAAATTCCCCTTTATTTTTAATTAAGATTTTTATCATAGTTAAACTAAATGTTATCAAATGTCTCTGTGCATATAATGAGATGATTTTTCCTCCTTAAATCTGTTAATGCAGCTAAGGAAATTTATATCTTTTATGATATTAACCCATACTCACAATCCTAGGATAAATCTAGAAACTCTAACACCCTGAATAAGTCATTGAAGCGTCAAATTATAGATGGTCTTAACAGCCATAATGTGAAAGTATAATTTTATATAGATCAGGGGACCACTGGAGGGTTTTGACAAGGAACTAGTAATATTGGAGTTCATAAAAGCCCACTGGGCATATTATTATTGATTTTACAGATCTAGAATAAGTGTAGACAAATAAAGTTCTTCTGGAAGTATTAACAATAATCTCTGATGTGGTTAGTGATTCAGAGGAAAGCTTGCTCTCCCTTGTTCTCCTACTCTACACTGTCCAATCTTCCAAGACAGTCCAATAATGAGGCTTCTGAATAATACGTTTTATGTACAATATGTCTCAGAAATAGATTGTCTATTGCCAACAAATTAGAATTCAACAATTTGCACTCAAGTCTCTATGAAAGAGCAAGTGACTTGCTGATGACCGTAGAGGCAGCAGGAGAAAGGACACCTAGTTTGTCCATCTTCATCCTGAGTGCTTTCTACCTTTGGGGCGGAGGCAAGGCTTTGCATCAGGAGAAACCCTCTTTGTTTTCCTGCTCTGATCCTCCATGAAGATATGGGAAACCTGGAGCGGATTCTGAGTCGCTAGGATCTGGAAGGTACAGCCTTGTAGACGGCGCACTGACCTAGGTAGGGTGCCTGATAAGGAAAGAGAAAGTTTGAGGCAAGATGAGATCTGAGTTCAGGTCTTCTTTATTTGAAACTCAAGATATTTCCACCACAGCCTGTGTCTTTCAGCAATATCATACCTGTATGCAAATACATGCATATGCACAGAGATCTCAGCCTACGATCACAAACTTGGGCCCTGAGTTGTAGGATTTCACTATTACCTCCCTTAAACTTTTCTCCCTTTATTCATACTAGGTCTTATTTTGACCCAACACCTCCATCTCTGCACTACTGAGTTCCTAATCCTCAGAATGTTCAGTTCGTGATCCCAGTCAATGCTAGTGAATGCCTCTGTTCCCACCTATAAAACAGAGGCAAAAAAAAACAACAACCACACACAGAGGCATATCACTACTCTCTTGTTTAAGTCCAAGGTCTGAGGCTGTTATTTCAGCCTAACGGGAGTGAAAAATCAGACACACATATACATACTTCTCTGAGCAGACTCAGTCACAAGACATTTTTGGCTGAGAAGCATTCGTCAGCAAATTACCTTCCTCCAACCACAAAGTGGTTAATTTCTCCAAAAAGCAAAGACTGACTTTCAGATTTTATCTTCCCTTATGCCTCAGTCCCTATTCAAATCACATATGGTTTCAGGAATCCCCAACCAACCCAACTGAGATAATTCACCCTTCAGGGTTTCATGATCTATCAAGAGGTGCAACCCATAAAATTCTCCCCATAGTCAGTGTCAGTTTCCAGTACACCTTTCCACTGGACCTGAAGCCCTGGCTACTGAACAAAGATGCTTTCATCTATGCCCAGATATCCAGACTCCCCAAGACACTCTAAAATTGAGCTATATTTAAGAGTCAAATGGGTCACCAATCATACATGCTGGGGAAAAAGTATGAGCAAG